CAAGTTAACCTCCCAGGAACAGGACAAGTGACGCCTGATTTGTTGTCAGTTATGTAATACATGTATTTAAGACAATTATGTATTGCAGAATGCATGGTAATTCCACACTTTTACTATAGTTTGCACCTACATTTTACACGCATTTACCATGCTTTAGCTCTGTTTTACCATTTTTATAAAGCGTGATATTTTATATCATTATGTAATGAGAGCATGGTTTTTGTTAGACATTAGTGTAGTTAAGCACAGGGCAAGCTTGACAAAGACACCCGCAAGAAAGGGAAAAAGCTAGCGTGTGATGGTAATGTAAAATAGGTGCAAAAGTCATGTTCAAAATGCAAAATCGCTGCAAATTTCCCCAGGAGTTGGAGTCTGCAGATCCAATAGTATAGACCTTCTGTATGACCGTATCAGGAAACATTCAGTACATTTTCTTAAACAGCATTTCCAAAGTTGCTCTTCTCTCCAGCATCACCTTGAATTGTGAAAATCACATCTCCAAACCACATGGCTCCCGACCTGACGTATATTTTACACTAAAAGAAATCTGACTCATGATGTGCTCTGATAACAGCTCACTCTTTACACTTCAGAGAACTGGCACAGACTATTTGCCTTTGGGGCAGAAAAAGCCCGGTTTCCATGTTGTTATCAGTCTCATGTGTGCAAAAAGACGTGTCCTTTGAGATGACTGCACAAAATAGCTCTTAATTCAAGTTGCTGTGAGTGCTCATGTGACAGGCACCATGTGACATACAGGAGTTTTGTTTCACTGTGCAAGCCATTGTTTTAAAGTGGGTCGTATCCTGCAGTTTTAGCACAACACTATTTACTTAGGACTTGGCCATGTTTTTCACTTTTTTATAGATTTATTGTGTTGTATTGCATGAGAGTGGCACAGAGGCATGGGCTTCAGTTCTGGTCATTGGGTGTCTGGAGACAGTATGTTCACATGTCCTGGGTGAGGAGAACAACTGCCTTTCCAAACTGCCTGTAGACCCACTTCCCCCTTTCATCAGGGATGCGCAAGAGAGCTGCTTCCAGGGCGGATGTGAGGTGTTAGGCGGAATATGAAAACAAAATGCGTTATATTTATATGTAGGCAGGAGGAGATGGACAAGAATAGGGTTTGACCTTCTCCCAGACTTGTTTTTAAGGCTGGATTAAAATATGTCGTCTTCACAGGCATCTACATAGCCTGTGTAGTTTAAGAGTTGTGATTTGTTTGCATGCCCTCAAGCCCGAAAGGTGCCGGTTGATTCCAGGTACTGCACCTGGCCACATCAGGATGGGCACACCTTTTCTCCAAATGTTATTCCACAGGGAATTGCGACACCCAATCAGAAAATGCATTTAGGAACATGTATGAGTAGTCAAACCAACAAGTACAAGTACAAACCAACAAGTACAAGTTAGAGGTGCAGGAGACACTGGTTGTTGTCGTCCCTTCTGAACTTTTGTTAAAAACTCCGCAAAATCAGCCTCCAGTGGGCTCAGCACAGAACAGCTGGCCTTGTATCTTTTGTTCACGTGGGGAGGAAAACTCTCTTTGCAAGTAACAGCTGCCAAAAGGACACTGGAGATTAGGTGGAGTCTGACGTTCCTTTAAGTTTCTGAGTTGACAGAGGTTGCTACGTTCTGACATCAGTGTAACATCAGTGTAGAGCAGCAATTTCACTTCTCTTTCCCCTCACCATCCCCCAACCACCCAGAGCTTGCTGACTGTGTGAATTATGCAGTACTGTACATTGCAGTTAACATATTGGAACGTTACAAACAATATTGGAATGTTACTTGCATCTCTGTTCCAGATTCCACTGCAGGCACAGGCTTGTAAACCAATAAGAAAACCCCCAGGAGGTAATTCTGTACAAACTCTGTATAGGTATGTTTTAGGGACACATACTCAATGTACTTCGGGTGACAGGGGCTGCTGTGTTATCTTGGCGAGACGAACGTCTTTAGGCAAATTCAACAGTCTCCCTTAATTATGGGCGGTGGCTCTGTGGCTAAGGATCTGTGCCTGTGGCTTGAAGGTTGCTGGTTCAAATCCTGCAGCTGGTAGAAGAATCCTACTCCATTGGGCCCTTGAGCAAGGCCCTTAACCCCAGCTGCTCCAGGGGTGCTGTATAAATGACTGACCCCAAGCTTCTCCCTCCCTGTCTGTTCCTGTGTGTCTCATGGAAAGCAGGCTTGGGGAATGTGAAAAGACAAAATTCCTAATGCATCAAATTGTATATGGCTAATAAAGTGATCTTATCTTATAATTGTGAAAGAAAGTGGGTTTAGTCAGCTTCTGTCACTAATGTATTGCTACGTAAATCTACATGAAATGCATTGATATGATGAGGATGTTTGGTTGAATGGCGGATGTCAACTGCCCAACATGAAAGTTGTTACGTACCCTTTTTTCAATGAACACCCTCTCCCTGGAGTATCTTTCTGATATCCAGCCTGTCCCCCTTCTTGGCCCTCTCCCAGGCTTCATCTCAGAACTAGCATGTGAGGAGCCTCACCATCTGGACAATCACACACAAAGTTCACACTTTTTATCCTCCAGCCCCTCAAGAGCCCCACTCAAAGCAAAACGATTCACTTTCTATCTTCCCGAGTCATACTGTAGCTGTACTGTATAAATGGCATTTGTTTTTCTGAGGTGTAAAAAAAAAGGCTCTACTACGACACGTTTGAAGTTCCCCGGTGTTTGCCTCTTGTTTTGAGCCGACAGTTCTTCTCTGGGACAGCTGTGAGAGATCTGATGTGCACAGTGCAGACGTGAGTGGCTGAGCAGACTCTTGCAGTACAGAATACGGAGTTTTAAATGAAGGTTCAAGAGGAGATCAAATCCTAATCTTGCCCACCTGTATATAATTATCATGCTTACCGACTTTGCTCGTAAGCTTTTCTCTTTCACATCCCTCCTTCCACCCCATATTTATGCTCAAAGCAGCTCCCTGGTTCACTCTCTGTTCAAGAGTAGGATGAGACACCCCTCTCCTTCCTCACCCAGTCAAGTTACCCCAGTAAAGCTCACTGTAGGAATCATGCCTCTTTTCTGCATTAATTATGGTTTGACCAATCAACCGAGATAGTCATCAGTCCTGTTTGGAAATGGGAAACAATTCAGGACTTTATTAGGGCTGGACATTATTTTATAAAAGCAAACATCAACGATGCTTAGAAACACATACATGAGAAAAAAAACAGAAGCTTTTTTTGAAAAAAGGAAATTTATTCTGAAATGGCTGATCTCTCATAATGGCGCCCTTCCAAGTTTCCACTCAATACAGTACATAAACCTTTTCATTTTTTTTCTGAATTTTTCCAAAAAAAAAACAAAACAGGCAAACTCATAAAAAAAGTTTATCACAAAATAAAACATCGCAAAAAAAAATTGTGCCACTGGACTTGTACTGAGGTTTGAACCACAGTTATTTTTGTTGTTGCTCACTCACAGCTACTCATTGTTTACACCGTCTGCACATATTTATATCCACCTATATGCACAAACTGTATATAGATTGATATAGATAAATAGTTAAGAGGCCACAGCCATAATCAATTTGGTCATACATATAATGAGAGAGCCAATTCGCTCCAAGCCACTGTACATAACACATGCTCAATAACCCATAATGGACAGAAACATTCCACTTCAAATCCTTGTTGTGTGGCTGGGTGACAAAGGCTAAATTTTAAGGCAGAAAAAATGCAAAGGGCACATTCACTATCTGTGGGCATGGTGGTAGGTCTCTTCTTTTGCTTCTTTCTGCAAGGCCTCAAAGGAGCAAGCAAGAGACAATCCACTGTAACAATTTTCCCAGACAGGCGGAACTTTCCCGACAGCTGTGTTCCTCAATGTGCGGCACCCTTCACCAACCCAGACTCAAAAGGTAAAAGCCCCTGCAGAAATGGAGTGATGGGTTGTTTGTTAACAGTATGACAAAGTAATAATCTTTGTGTTCTTCAGCTCTTAGGGCAGCATGTTTACCAGGGCTATAGAACACAAAGATTGGAGACTGATTAAGTGACACAAATGCAGAGCAAAATCCTGAAAAGGAAAATAAATACAGAAGTGAAGTTTTCTTCTCCCTCCTTCTTTAAGATCATTAAAATAGACACTACTACAATGACAAGGCATTCCAGTTATCCCCCTTTCCCAGTACTATTTGATTTTTAGTTGTCTTTAAGTTCTTGAAAATCCACAGGGCCACACCTGCCCGTTTCCAGTTCAACGCGGCTCTGGTTTTGTAGTGGGTCAATGAGCACAGGTTTCAGGAGAGCAGTTATGTACAGTCCAGTTAAATTTAGGGGTGTGTGGGGCCCACTTCTGAACCAGCAGTAAGACCTCTATTTCAGGAACCCCCAGAAGGAGAAAGAAGTGATGGAGGGAGGAAAAAAAACTTCAGGTCCGTTCTCAATCGAGACAAGTGGAGTCTTAAAAGATGCTTTAAGCTTCCAGATTGAAAAGTAAGCGAGGGATGCATGCAATGTACGTTAAAACAGCACTGACATTCTTTGCAAAACACCAGTAAAAGAAAAAATCTTTGGGTGAAAGGCAACAAACCGTGCCATAAAAAATAAGCATCCTCCCCAGAATGGTGGATTTTCTGAATCTTGTTAATCTGCTTTACTTCTGCCTTTGTGCAGTAATGTTTGGCCTTCCGCACAAGGCAGGAGGCAGAGTATTCGCTTGTGTGTCATCTGTTTCGTGTTCAATTATTCTGTCGTTAGGGTGGCATGGCAACAGAGTGGTTAGCAGTGCTGCTTCACCGACCTGGGGCCCTGGATTCAGTTCCAGATCTGGGGGGTTTTCTTTGTGGTGTTTGTATGCTCTACCCATATTCACATTTTTTTCCTCCAGGTGCTCTGGTTTCCTCCCAAGTCTGAAGACATACAGCGAGGATAACTGACGTCTGGGAAAACTGGCACCGATGTGAGTGCGTGCGTGCGTGCGTGCGTGCGTGCGTGTTTGCGTGTTTGCGTGTTTGCGTGTTTGCGTGTTTGCGTGTTTGCGTGTTTGCGTGTTTGCGTCTGTGCTTGTGACTGGTGTCCACGGTGTACCCCACCTTGTGCCCACAGCTTGCGGGGACAGTCTCCAGCTGCCCTGCGACTCTGAATTGGAAGAAGCGGTTGGAAGATGGGCTGTGTGATGTTGAGGATGCTTATTTTAATACAGCACAGGAAAGTCATGCCACGACCTCCCCCCTGCCCATAAAAAATAGCAATCACACACAGTGGAAAAAAAACAATCATAGGAGTGCCTGCAGAGGGGCGTGTGTGAGAGTCGGGGTGAGGTGCTGGCCTGTGGGGACGGATGTAGAGCAGATGTAGCTGTTCAAGAGGGGAAAGGAAGTGAGGTGGATCTTGCGCGGAGTAGCATCTCCTCTCCCCTGGGATCTCCCAACCCCGTGTCCAAGCAGTGGCGGTGGGCTGGTGGTCTCTCTCAGGGGCCTCCCCTACTCCACCTGGGCATCGTAGTTGGCCCCCCCAGCCTTTTTGAGCTCAGCCCTAATATAAGCTTCTTCCAGCTCCCTGCGATCGCTGACCATGAACTCCTTGGCAAAATTCTGCAAAACAAAGCCAAAACAACATCACCCAGCGGCCACTAACTCAGTCCCACACTGATGCACCAGCTTCCTTCCAGATCTTTCATGGAGAAGAATTGAAGTGAGATGACTCAGCTCCAGGCCCTGAGGGTCAAAGACCACTAGCTTAGCAATTTCGATTTCAATCATTAACCTGCTTTCAACCTGAGAGTGTTGAATTTGCTGATTGAAGGATAACTAGTTCCAGCAGCTTCCGGGAAGGTAAGGCTGAGGTTGAGTAAAAGCCGTTTCTGAACTTATTGTCGGTGCCCATCCCTCTTTCCAGATCTACTCCTGTTAGCTGGCCTGTGTGCTGGGAGTTGGCAAGATCTTTAAAACTCAGACAACAGACGATTCTCCCTGCACTCCTTGGTTCCACTTGCTTGTACAAAACACCAAAACTTATTATGAAATTGAGTTTTTACCCCACAATCTAGGATTAAACTGCCTGATGGTTTCTAACAACGCTTGACTATACTGTACTGTGAAAAATAAATGAACAAGTCTCGCCTCGATCTGCAAAAACACAGCAAAGCAAATCAGACAGATTTTTTCGTTAAGGGAGTTACACAATTTAGTAGAACCTCATCTGATCTTTTAAGTTGTGACCTTCAGCTACAAGGCTCACAGGGCTCAATAAAACTCTTAAATTAAGATAAAAAATAAACACAACCATAAAATATGGTTAATACAATATTTAAAACAATAAAGGACAACAGTGGCATAATCCCATGATATTGATTTGTGTAGAGCCTTCTTCCTGTAAAGATCAACCCGGCCACAATTAATATGGTAATTAGGCCAGGACAGTCAAACCAATTTCCTGTCTGGCAAGCGTGGACAATTCAGCAGATCTATACAGCTCACACAGGGGGGCATCTACCCAACAGCATGTGCCATCTAAAGCACTGTGAATCAATGAATGCCCTTTTAAAGTTTATGCTTCAGCTTTTTCTTGTCACAGATAACATTATACTCCCATTTCAAAATCTCTGCATTCTTATAATTAATTTAAGAGCTCTTTTCCAGATCTGCCTGGAAACGCAAATTTGTTGAGAAATTAAAACCAGCATAGTATAGCTTGTCTGACCTAAACTTTGCATTAAAGTGACTGACTTTTCTATTTATGTTTCTCTCAATTACCCTGATATTTCTCTGGTGTTTTAACCTGAGTTCGAAAAAAAAATATCTATCTATAGATATAAACCTTGGCTGGCTGTTCCCCAATGGAAATCATTATGCGGCAATTATTTGTATAGGTAACAACATCAGATGATTTTTGCTTGGAAATATGTTACTCAAAAAGCAATAAATGATTTTTATATGATTACTGGAGTACAGCTGGAGGCTGTGCAAGATGAGAGTGAGATGACATTTAAGTTTGAAATTGTCATAAATGTCATCTCACCTTCTCTGGGTTTCAAGATCACAGCACTGCTGAAACCTTAATCAAGCTCTGAGACAGCACATTTCCTTTCAGCAATTCTGAACAGTCGTCTTTTGCAGTTGTGAAATAGTTAAACATTGGAGAAAAGGTGGATTCGGACAGTGTGAGATTAAATGTACTCAGGAGTAAGACAAGTGAGGCACAGCAAGTGTGGCTCTGAAGGCTTTAAAGACACATGATATGTGCCCATACCTATTCAAAGGACTATGTTTAAAAAGCCAGGCCTTGCACACCAGGAGTACATGAGGCCTGATTTTCTCTCTATCCTCGCTCACAGGCACCTGGCCCTCTTTGTCCACAGTTCGTGAAAGGCCACCACTCAGCTGCACAATAACTGATGCGTCTAGACACTGATTAAACCACAGAGTGCAGCTCCCATTTCATCGTGTAACTTCCAACACAACGCCGGACATTAATAAGCCTTTTCAGCAGGGTACCGGACAACCTCTGAGTCCAAGAAAAATCAAAGCTTAGACCGCTGTCATCCTCTGAGGCATCACAGACACCCAGTAATGTTACTCTTAAACTGCTCTCTCCTGTACGAACCCCAGTTGGTTGGGACTGCGCTTGAAGCAGTCAGAATGTTGTTTTACATGCGTCATATAGAACCAGTGACCCCAAAGGGTTAGGTTTCTTCCACAATCCGAAAGGCCCTACCACATTATTGTTCTTAGCAAGCTGAGAAAAAAAAAATCTACAGCGTGCCCCAAGAAGGAGAAGCACATCACAGGAACAAAGCTAACTGTGCTGCAGCGCATCTGTCAAGTGCCTGCTGTTGAGTCCTGCAAAGCAAACTGCTCCAGGGAGTAATTTATGTGCTGAACTGACTGCTGGGCCTGCAGCAAGGCAAGAGGTGTCTTGTCCAGACTTCTGCACTAAATCAGCTTGCTTGGGAAATTAGCATGTAGCTCGTGTCCCAGCTAGCGTTTGGGAGATGCCAGGCTCTCACAAAAGAGCTTTTTGTTTTGTGATTTTTTTTTTTATTCTCCTTTGCAAGTGGGCATCTGAGCTGCTGGCATCATCCACAATACATAATCTCCACGGCAGGGCAGAGCGGAGCTACTCTGCAAGAGGCATTCAGTGCAAAAAAAAAGCTCTCAGGACTAATTTTTCCCTTTTCCAATTTCCGAGCTCACTGCCGCATGCGGCGACAACAAATATCTCTCGGGTTCACCTGAATGCAGATGGGGAAAAAGGAAAAAAGTTTTACCAAGAAGGTGCAAGCTTTTCATCAGGAATTTCTGTTTTTGAACACTTTCAAGCGGCAAATACTTTATAAACTGTCCATTTCTGTACTGTTTTCCCATAAATGCTCAAAACGCATTGTTGTATACTGTCTACTCTACCTTAGGCCTGGCAGAGAGACACAGATGGCAGTAAACAGTTTAATTTATGGCCATATATCCTGTGCCTCCTGTTTTCACTGTGCTTACTGTAGTATACTATAGTAGAATTCAGGCTGCCAGACCAGTTGTTTTGAGTCTGGCTGTAACCGGTTTAGCAGTTCAGTGGACTTTGTGATTTTTCTCAGACAGCTGGACATAAGAATACACATTCTGTGACTAGTAGGGATGCCCCTTTTACATTCTGTGGTGAAATACTCTATACTGTATGTTTCATATGTGTTTTGATATTTGTGGTAACATTAGAGAGATGTTTTGAGCTAGAAATCCCGTCTGAAAAGGCTCATATTCAGAGCTTAGCAGGAGAGGATACTCTTTCGTGTATCGCTCTCAGAAAATTGACTTTTTCTTAAAAGACTGAAAATCTTTTAGAACCTTTAGAACCAACCGAGCAGCACTGTGACTTCTTCCTTCTTCCCTACACTACAGTGAAAGTTGAGTAAAGTATGGTCAAACAGCAAGGTGAGACATGATACGAGCCACAGCAGACCATGGAAAATGAAATGTGGGCTAAAGAGCTACCATGGACAGTGAGCTGGAGGGGACCTGTGCCTTACCTGTACTATGTCTTTCACCAGGGTCTTGTCTGTGCTGATCTTGGCTCTTTGCAGGCCGCTCACATTCTCTCCAATCCAGGTGATCAGGGTGAATTTGGCCCTCTTGCTCATGGCGTCTCCCGTGGTGATCCTTACAAAGCCAAATAACCGGGCATCATCTGTGGAGCAGAGAGAGGGAGGAACACTTCAGCCCTCTTGAAGAGAAGCCCTCTGTTGTCTTAACCACCGCTGGGAACAGGATTTGTACTTACAGGCCCAGCGTTTGAAACAAAAGAAAAAACGAAAGCATGCTCTAACAGCTTCCCGCTACCCGTCACTCATTTACTGCGAAACGGTAATTAGCTGCAACCTCAATTTCTCAATATTCTGCAAACGCAGATGTCAAAACATTGCAGTAATCTCAAACAATTTGCTGCCCACAAACCACTCACTGCGTTTTGTTTCTTCTGCTGTTGCAGATTTTACGCTTACATCCCCTGGGGTCTAATCCTCTTAGAAGTGAGAAAACAGTTGCGATGCGGTCAAACAGACAAGCCCTTCTTCTGCTGCCTGTAATATTGGGTCGTTTGTGGCAAAGTGGTATGAATTGTGCTGTGAGTAACGTGACCATCATGACTTTTTCTAAGATGGATTTGAACCAGGAACTCCCACAACCAGAGGGCTATGGCACATCAGATTATCTTGCTCCCAGCCTAATTATTCTGATCCAAGGGTGTTCGAATCCTTTTTCAGTCCAGTTGGAAGTTCGGTGTGTCTGCGGGGTTTCAGTTCATCTCAGCTGGTCACTCTTTGACCTGGACCAGGCTTCTGCCGGCTGCTGCATCCCTCTGGGTGCTGCTGCTGCTTTATAGAGACATAGAAAACCCACAGAGACACTTGTCCTCCAGCCTCATCACCGGACTCCTCTGTTCTGATCAGAGCAAAATGTACCTGCGGCCCGTGACAGCATGACTAATTAAGGCCGCAGCCCACAAGAGCAGGAGAAGCAAGCCAACAAACTCCACGGCCCTCTGTTGCACTGTCCTCGGTTAATGGAGTATTAACTGATCTGGAGGTAATGTGTCCTGATAGAAAGTTGGGCAATCAAACCTTTAATGATGCAATGTCTTTCAGTATAGTGGCTCCTCAGGCATTAGCTCATCACGGTTTCTGTAATGCAGTTGTATTGGAGGACTGGAGAGGCAGGGGTTGAGAACCATAACCACTATTCCACTTTCTACCCTAGACTCCCCAGTTAACACGCCCTTCTGCAGTCCAATTCAACCCATGGAGTTTTGGCTGGGCTTTGCCATTCATATAATAATGTATTCCTACGTTACAGCAGATCTTGTCTGGTGTCTCAATGCTATTATTTCTCTCAGAAAAACATGAACAAGACTTATGTTTCGTCAGCTGCCATCAGCACTTCCCAAGCAGTCTGCTGGGCTTGAGCTGTGTTAGAACATCGAAGGTCCCCAGTAATCAAGGAGACTCTCCCCTGTTTTGCTCAGTTCAATAAGGCTGGTAAATGGAAAATACCTGCAGCTTAGGCAATCACAGGTGCTATTTAAACAACTAAAGTGCTGTTGACACCCCTTTCATCAGCAAATAAAAAAAGTTAAACTTCACTGGAATTTGTGCCTGATGGTATCAACATACTACTTATCATAAAAGAGAAAGTATTACTATTGAACCAGGATGTCCTCTCCTTTCCATGACCTTAAAGGAAACAGTGCCAAGTACATAACTGCAGCTCCCCACCCAGGATGTGCGAGCCCAGAGCTCCAGCCACTCTTCCTAACTGCTGATTTTACTATTTTTCTCCTTGGTATGGGTGCTGTTTTGACTCCGGGATGCCAATTTTAAGAGTACGGAGAGGAGAGAAATTATAATAATGTTTAACTTTTGGTTACATGAGGCAATGACAGTGCAAACCTCCATCCACTCTCTAGGCACTTTAACCAATTCAGGGTTGGGGTGGAGGTAATCCTATCCCAGCAAGCACTGGGTGCAAGGCAGGACATACTGTAGATTGGATGCCAGTCCACTGCAGGGCAGATGGACAGCACACACCCACACCAGGGCCAATTGTCCCAAGAGCCAATTAACCTTCAAGTATGTCTTTGGACTGTGAGAGGAAACCAGAGCACCCAGAGGAAACCCACACGAACACGGGGAGAACATACAAACTCTAAGCAGATAGCACCCCAGGTCTGGAATCGAACCCAGGGCCCCAGCGCTGCAAGGCAGCAATACTCGCCACTGCCTCAGTGCGCCACCCATCGCGTTTCATACAGAGAGGAAATGTGAGTGTACTGGGATGGACTGGCATGCTAGGCTGAAGGACAGCAGCCACGAGACCTCGATCCCACCTGGGCTTCTGGGATTGGATCTGACTGACCACACCACACCACACCACTCCGCAGGGTCAGGGGAGCTCTGATAACTGCTGTATGGGTGTACAGGATGGTTTCTGAAATGAACCTGGAATTCAGTATAAAACTGCATATCTAAGATAGTAGCATGGGATGTGTGTTGGGTTTTTATAACATTTCCTTTGGCAACTAAGATGCCACAAGAGAGTTCTGGGAAAGGTGCATGCCTCCAACAGACAAATCAAAAGTGAAATGCGCCTACGTTAATAAAGCCTACTAGTACAAGAGCAGGCAGAAAGGTTTTTGGAAATATGTTGGCCTAGATATTAAAAGGTATGGTGTCTCTCTTTGTACGATTCAAATATTTCACAGGAAATGTAATATGCACTGATTCCTTTTAGGATACCATACAACTGAAAATTAAATCCAACACGGTCATCTGTAGTGCTTTCACTGCTGATCTAAACTAAAACTGTACAGTATCTTTGCTTTTCCATGTCTTGGTTTGCATTCAAACCAGGAGCTTGTGTTAAAGTAATATTAAAAGCTTATTTTCTGCAGTACATCTCAGAAGAGCTTATCTTTGAAACCTGGAGCCCAACATATTGTGCACATATGTCCTCTGGGATGCGCCTTGCATAAAAGGCACTATATAAAACAAAGGGCTTGCAAGGGTGTTGTGGGAGTCCACAGAGCACATCTGGGTACAGGGACTGTGTGATGGAATAAGATCCTGACCTCACAGAATGGATCATTCGGAATGCACACGAAGAAAGAAAGATCTTGCATTAATGTGATCACCTGACAAACAGCTGACCCAGCATTAAAATATTCCCCAGTGACTGTGCTCTCCAGTGAGTTTATCCCACAGCTATTATCCAGAACAGCATTTGAAAAGCCACAGCTGCTGCCATGTTCTTAATGTGTGTTAATCTTGTGCCCACCTCCTAGCCTGCAGGACCCGAATGGTCACTTCCTGCATTGAGAGTTGTGCGGAAAAGAGCAAATTCAGCAGCAGCTGTAAAAGTAGCTGGTTTTCTTGAAAGTAAGGCATCCTTTGTAATAAAAGGACACCTTTGTACTCTGCCCCCTTGCTGTGAAAAATTGTTCCACAAAGCATTCAGAAACGGAAAAGGGTCACTATGACTGTATGTCAGGACAGTAGCCAATCCTGATCTAATGTTTCACCAGAACATCCCCCAGATCCCCAGAAATGCACCTCAAGCCCAGACACCCTTCATAGACTCGCATCTCTGCCCTATTTCAGAAAACACACATCAGATGAGGACCTGCTGATTAACTGGTAAACTGAGATTTGCGACCCATGTTCTACATCACCGATCAATGAATGTGTTACTCTGTGGATCCAAAGAGAACACTGCGTGAATTCGGACTCTTATCAGCTGCCTGGCTAGCCTCAACATGAAGCCTGAGGAATGTGTTTTTACTCTAGTCACTTTTTAATCGCCAAACACAAGAAGAATGTAAACTGGATTGCCTGCACTGCAAATCTTTGGTCGTCTTCACACTTGAAAGATCTGCAGTGAAACAAATGACGTTATGATAAATTCAGCAGAATTTCATTCATTAACAGGAACTACTGGGGGGAATAGATGTGTCTTTCAAATGGTAACAAATCAGACCAAAACATTGTTCTGTTTAGAGATTCTGTGGGTGTCTTTCAAATAGGCCACATTCCTGTATGATCCTTAAGTTTCCTGTCAAACCAGGCCTTCAAAAAAAGTTTGGAGGACTATTCCTACAAAATGAAAACTCTCTTCCCGATGTCATCATTCTCCTCATAACCTTCCCCAGGCAAACTTTCCTGTTTATTAGAGAGGAAATTCTGTCATGGCCCTACTGACCCAAAATTATAACATTGTTTCAATCCCAAAATCCGACAGTAGTTCTGTATGACTCTACTTTTTAAACAAAAGAAGAATCACATTATGATATGACAATAAAACAACTTGACAACAGACCAACAAGAAAAATGCCGCTGTTGGAAAAAACAGACCATGTGAAGTTGAATTATTCACATGTAGCTTAGGTTAAATACTACAAATGCACACCATAAGGAAACAACTCTATGCTTTAATGTGGACATTAAACACAACATGCTCGTGGTACATGAAGAGCCCAAATCAATGTGAAAATAGCTGATTTTTCTCTGGGCAAAGCTAAAAGATCTTTTTATATTTGAAAACCCCCAATAGCTAAAATTGACATTAATAAAGAAAATAACCTTGAATGTGAATGCTTGTGTGGTTGTAAGATCAAATAGAAACCACCCGAAATCCTTGAAGATGATGTACTTTACTGCAAAGAAGAGTAAAGGAGCCATGTTGCCATGGAAACTGTTATCTTGTCACAGTGGTGTGGTCTTATAACATTAAGCTACTTAAGGCTGTGACCAGTGTTTTAATCTGGACTACAGGACTTCAGTCTACAGCACTTCCTCCCAGACTCTTTTGCATTGTTGTTTCAGATGATATAGATACACTCTGCACGGTCCTGTCTGCCTCTGAACCACAGCACCTCTATAAAACAATAACATATCCCTCCTCTGAGGGCAGATGATTTAAACTTGTTTTTCTTCAAACTTTACACTCAGACAGACAAACAAAACCCAAGACAAAACAGCTCTCCTCATTCAAACCTGACCCCTTTTAGAGAAAGCCCTTTGGAGACTTTAAAATCTATTTAACCGTTTTAGAAAGCTCTTGGATTAAATAAAACCATACAGATCTAACAAAGAGGCTATCTTATCAACGTGGGTAACAAAGAATGTTGGTTGTATAAATCCTCTATCATTTCTGCTTAACCAAAATGATAAAACTTCTGAATTACCTCAGGCATTGTTTAATAATTACTCTGCAATAAACATGACAACCACATGCAAGAAGTTGCAAATTTCTAGAAACCTATGAAGGTCTAAGCGCTGTAAGCTTTCTTAAGTATAAGGCTTATAAAACTCATTCCATTTACTTCAAGTTTGTTTTTTCAGAACTGGATGGGATAAGGTCGTTTCTCCGGTTAGGTTTAATTAGATATAGTTGTGCGATTTTGAACATGTGTAATAAACTATGCAACATTAAACTACTGTTTTGCTACTATAGTCATAAGGCCTGGTTATCTCATGTTGTGTTTTTGTTAAATTAAAATATTCTATTAAAGCCTCATTAGTTCCTGGAAGGTTTGAAAACGATGGTCGTGTGTGGCATCTTCTTCCAGAACAGTAATGTGACATCCAGAGAGATCTTTTCAGGAGCTTGTGGAAAATGTGTAACAATGTACTGTATTGCTTTATTATGTGTTTCAAGGGAAAGAGTACATTTTCACATCTTGGCCTCTGCTGTCTTTAAATAATGAATATCTTGGAATGCAGAGCTCTGGCTAGGTGATGGCAGCTTGGTTGATATTATATCGCTCAGAAGAGTTGAACCAAATATTTCTTGGCTTATTATGTTTGCTGGGAAGGAGGGGATCAGAATAACAATGACCATCCATTCATTTACCACTTCAGGGTCGCAGGTGACTGGAGCAAGGAAGGACACTAACGGCAGGGCAGTTTTCCCAAAACCAATTTACCCACCAGTGTGTTGTGGAAGGAAACTGGAGCGCCCAGAGGAAAGCCATGCAAACAGAGAAAGAACATACAGTACAAACTCCAAGCAGATAGGACCCCAGGTCCAGAATTGAGCAGCAACACTAAGCACTGACCCGCTGTAACAGAGATCGAGGGAGCTGAAACTGAAGAATGATTACGGAGATCCAATGGGGTTAATGAACTTTTTTGTCTTTGAAAAGCAAAAAAGAAAAAACATACTGTAGGATGAAGTGGAGGAAAATTACTAATCTCACATGAAGTTCTCAACTACAAAACTATTAATAACTGAAATTTAGAGTTTCACGTGACTCCATGGTTTACATATACCAGCAACCAAAAAGGAGACCATCTATATTTAACCCTTATTAGTTCACCCACATCCAAATGAGTGAATACAGACACCTTATTTGTCTGCATTTTTCAACACATTGCACTGTCACACCCTCATTTTCTCTCCCATTCTGCCTGCCTACATACACACAAATGCCAAGAAAGATGCTGCAGGAGAGCTATAAACAAGAATGAATAGTCTAAACATTTACATTATAAACTCATACAACGAGAAAAACAATTACTTCCCTCTTAGTAAGAGCATTTTGTTTTAAATGTCGAGTGTATCTACATGCTGTTCTAGTTTCTATTTCCCTTACTTTTATTCTTACAGGTGATCTGTTATTTTGCCTTTTTCAGTCCTTGTGGGGTATCAGTCCAAGCTGCGGGCTGAGGCAGGGCAGACCTGCCCATCTTTGACCCCGTGAACCCGACAGCAGCAGACAGGCTGGAGGAGAAGACGCGCGTCCCAGCTCCACCAGTTAGGTGCAACCCAACCCTGCCTGTAGTCAGCCTGACATTTCCAATTTTGTTTCAATTACACTCCACTGACATTTAAATCTCAATTTTTAACGGTTTAATTTGATAACCAGCTATTTCTGCTTGACATTTACTGCAAGAGCAACATTTATATTTTCCTTTCACATGAAAGCACTCAATACAATTCACCTTCATTTTTGTTTAATCCTATTATCTTGCCCTTGAATTGCTGGCTTACGTACTGTGTACCCATGATAGTACTGTATGTCGTACTTCAACATATAACAATATATACAGCATGTATTACAGCTACATTGTATCTGTAACTACAAAATGAGGGGACGGAAATTAGCGGTGCACCAGGGCTTTCTGTGCAATGGGGGAAGCATTATGACATCACTGCAACAGTCTGTCATGTCATTTCCTCTCGTTCAGTTTAGAGAAGCCTTTTCAGATTGCAATTCCGCTGGAGTCAGGAAGGTACAGACTATAAGAGTATAATGAAAAAGAGCACAGAAATGTAACACCGATCAACCATAACAAGAAAGCAGCAAGTCTTAAATACTGCGCATGATACCTTTGAAGCAAACTGTTTTTTTAAGGGTCTATTTGACACAGATGACTTCAGGTAAGTGAGCGGGCACAGTCACTGGCACTGCATTATGGAATCTGTTTTCAAAATGTGAGGAAATAACACACAGAATATCTAGATTTGATGTCTAAACCATCTTTTTACTAACTGGCACAATACAAGACATGCTGTACTGCACATCTAAGCACGTGCTTTAGAGATAGAGATCATGCTCACTTCCTATACTAACAAGCCACGCCCCAGTTTCTCTGAAAAAAAGGTGGATTACCATTCAAAACATTAAGTAAAATGGAGAACTGTCTGAACTGTCTGTCTGTCTCTTTCAACTGTGTCTGATTACACAGTTGAAAGAGCACAGCATCTTTGACCGGGTTAATCAAATGTTCCTTGACTTGTGCTTCCAATGAATGCGCAGGCAGTTTCGGCTCTGGAATCTGCTCTTCACCATGTGGAAAGTTGAAAGTGGAAAGAGCAGGGATCTGAGTCAAAACATTGAGGAAAAGGTGAAAATAAGCACTTATCTACAAACCATGTAGAATTCCCCAGTCTTTAAAGTTCCTCATTCCGATGATATTGAATTTCATGCGAGACAGGATTTTTGTTTTTCTGACTCTTTTTCTTAGGAGTGAAACTGCTCGATGTGGTACTACTGCGTGCCATAACCTCCACACTATTAACCACGAACCTTCCCTCCCTGTAATTCACTCACTCAAAATCAAGTAACGTGTCAAATACTTACAGCAAAAAAAAAGGCTGCACTGAATACTTGCTGCTGCTATTTTTCAGTCATGAAACCTTCTGGGACACACTTAGGGCTATAACAATGTAGATATGCCCATGTTGGATGAAAATTCACGTAAGTAGAGTCTTGGTAAAAACATATGGCAAACAGAGGTAATCACAGCCCTGTGGAGTAAATATCTTGGCTCAGGCCACCAGGATCAGCTGGTAATCCTGGGTGACACGATGGCTATACAAACCCCGCTAAACAGAGACAGTTACAAACACGAATAACTGGAAATAAGTGGAAAATGGAACTTACCATGCACATAGCATATATAGACATTCAGAATCAATAATTAATGCTAATGCACGTAGTGCCTGAGGGCGCCATCACAAGTCACTAACCCTGTCAAATCCTACATTCTGTGTTGCTAATTCCTATTTACTCCTTAGCCTCTGTATCTGGTTGAAGAACCTGCAAAGCTATGACTTCAGCCTGGACGCAGGTGTCTTCACAATGGGGGTTGAAAATCGCAACCAGCAGATGGCGCTGGTCTCCGAAGATTAAAATGGACACCCCGCCCCGTCTTGTTCTTCGGCGTGCAGGAATTCGTCTTGGTGTGAAGCGTTTACGTACACTCTGCAATCTGTTATCACAACCGAACATGAACGCATCCACAATTCAACAGCTATCCAAACCCATCGCCTCACCACAAAACACAAGTGCGATGCTTGCAAACCCAGCAGTCACGTTTGACAAGCAGAACATTTTTTTTATATATATATATCAGCCTACTACTCACATTTAAATCATTGTCATGATCCACGAACGCATTAACCAGTTCCCTCTTGCAGATACGTCATTTTGAAGAACTGCTGGAATAGGACTACAAAGCGGTCCTGGTTAGACAAACGGAAGATTTACGTAACCTTTCATTTATGTAAGTGTTTCAAAGCAGATAAACCGCTAGCGCCGGCTTCAGAAGACACAATTAAGTTTCTATGTAGGAGGAAACTGCACGCTTTTGATATTGAACCCCCCTATTCCCTTTCTGATGCTAAGTGCTGGTGGATGATTATCCAGTATTGTAAAAGCCAAAGCGCACACACTTCCGGAGCCGGTTGTCTGTCAGAAAACAATAGGCTACGACTTTGCGAACGGGGCGTTGTACTATAAATGAGACGGTCATAAGACTAGTCTTAATTTGTCATCATTTTGGCGTTTTTTTCCCCCCACTTTACAAGGAATACACGACAGGAATTCCAGATTACCGGTGGGGAAAATAAAACCACAGATTTCTGACATGGTGGTTTTATCAAGGCGTCTTATCCGTAAGAACAGACTTGTGCGTTTGACTGGAGAGACTATTCAGTTGTATGCAGCTCCCCTGTAATACCGAAAAACACCCTATAGCACATCTTTGAGTTACAGTGTCAGCTGGAGAGATTCAAGATACAGTGAAATGATTGCAGTGGTCCGACTGTGGTCCAGTTCTTTGAGGACCGGCTGCTGTTAACATTAATGGACAATGAATCACACGGCGTTAGAGGAATAAATCAACTCGTCTCTTACCTGTACATTGATTTTTAAACTCCTCGTATTCTGTGCCCTGCCCTCCGGGGACGATTGTTGAACCGTCGTAAACAAATGAAGCCCTTCAAACACATGCGTGAATAATAATTAGAAAAAAATACTACGGGTTTGAAGAAAGTGTGATACAATGAGGCCAAAGGACGAATCCTACATCCTAATGTTTCTCGCTTCAGTGCGCAATTGGGCTGAAAATCAGCTCTGGTGGGCAGCTCATCTAAAACTTCTGAATTCAGCTTTTCTAGCTAGGCGCATTAACGCAAGTCACTGGGCTACTTATAACTGTCATTTTACAGAGGGTTCGCATTATTCAGCAAATGCAAGTTTGGAAATTACGGGCGCATAGACCTCGTTATTTTGGGGGAAACCGAGAATATCGATACAGTAAACAAAGCGGCAGTGCTAGTGGGGTATCCAACAATAAAACAAACTCATCTTCAAATATTTACAATGAATACATGGACACTTCGACCCTGTTCGTGTATTGGGAAATTTGCTCTTCGTAAGCAGGATACTTATTCCCTATCAACATGCCATAACTGAAGAACAAACAAGAGACTTACCAGTTAACGTCAGTATTGTCGTCTCTTACGAGGTTATAGGCTTCCCTGCAAGCTTCTTTATCGATTTTGGTTGCCATTTCGTTTAGAGGTTGAAGGGAAGCGAAAAAGGGACAGAAGCTACAATAACTGCAGGAAAGCTGAAACAAATCAGAAATCCTTGAGGCGAGGAAGAGTTCAAAACGTTGCAGGCTGCGCTACAGATGCAGGGTGAAAGGGTGTCGAGGAGGTTGTCTTCAGCAGAGCTCCGCAGGATGCGCTAGCTACAATGCCGATTTTTTGAATGATTAGTAAAAGCGGTTCCTCATACGCCTCTAAAGGGCATTTCCTTTGCTTTGCTGCTTTGGGCGTTGGTGATTTTCGTCAATCAGGTTACAGCACAGAATAAGGCCCCCAAAGCTAGACTCAGAATCACCTCCTAATGGCCAGACTGGGGATTAAGGCACATTAAATCCACCCCGTTTCTATTGTTCACATTTCACCGAGTTTGTCGCCCCCTGGTGGAAGCAACCGATTCTGCTCTCTTTCTGAAAAGGTGCAACGTGATAGAAGCGAAGTGATGACGTGCACTTAAGGGCCGCCGACCTGAACACAAAAAAATAAAGGTTAAGGGGATATCATTTTTATTTGGGGGGAAAAAAAGATTCCAGCGTTATGTCTGGAAGCTGACAGACGTGCAACAAAGCCACCGGGCTCGACTATATCAACAGTTGCACCATTACCACTCACCTCCAAGATGGAATATTTGTCTTAAAAAACGGTTTCAACAAGTTTTAACCAACCAGACCTGCATTTAAAGGCCACTAGAGGGCACAATACTCCTGTTTCTTGGTAACAAAGCACTGCTGCACAGTGACGTTCCCAACATGCACTTTAAATGATGACATGGGGTCAAAGGTACAGTATTGCCAAGTTCTCTGCCTTCCATCAAAGGTTTGATTTCAGCTCTGAGAGTTTCCATAGAGTGGGGTTGGACACTCCTGGCCCTGGAGGACACATTTTCTTTCCACCTCAGCTCTTAACAACTTAAACCAGCTCAATATGGGCTTAATCTGAGCTTCACCAGCTTCTCTCATCTTTTCAGGTGTTCCTGCTTTGAAAAATCCTAAAAGGTCTGCAGACGCTCTGACACTACAGCACTAGAATGAGCCATCCCTGCTATAGGACATACTATACTGTGCACATGGTGCTCAGGTGACATTCACCCACCTGTACAGAGTGAACATCATAAGAGAACACAGAGATCTAATGAGCGGAGACCATTTGGGCCATCTATCTTGTGTACTTGGTACAGAAAATTGATTCATTGATTCAAGGCCCTCATCCACTGTTTCATGAAAGACGCCAGGGTATCAGCATCAGGGCTGAGCAGCTTGTTTCAGACTCTCACCACACTTGGCATGAAAAAGGGATTTCCTGTCTTCAATTTTAAAAGCTTTTCCTCTTACTTGTGTTTCACTGACCCTGGAGAAACCCACTTTGCCATGGACTTTGGAGGATTTAATACTTAAATTTAAATTTTAATTTTAATGCTTAAATCTGTTCTCGTTGCTGTCCTCTCTGCTCAAGTCGTTGACATACTGTAAGTGCACTCCTGAAGGACTGTTTGATTAAGGTTTAAAGTGTGTTCTTCATTGCAGTATCCAAGCAATATGAGATGTCTTAGGTTCTCCTATGTATGAGGTGATGTTGTTCGAATCTGTGGAAGATACTTTCCTACAGAGGAACAGGAGATCTCAGCCCAGGCCAAAATACCACCATAGCAAAACTGTGCTACATCACTTCTCGGTGAATGAAACTCTGGAGCTGAGCTTGACAGCTTTCTGGTCAAATTATATGTGCTTTGGCCTCAGCACTGGGACATTGTCATCTCGTTTCCCAGTGGATGTGCTTGGAATTCCCTCTGGGAAAACCTACATACACATCACTGAGGTTATAAAACAAAGCACTGGGTAATCAGCTGATATGCAAATAGCACACTCTACCGCAAGATCATTACATCCTTGTGATCATGAAAAGACAATAAAACGGTTAACACTGTTAAATTACAATAGGCAAATGAGAGGTTCTATGAATTAGAACTTCAACGATTTATTGTAAGGATGGTGAGGATACAAATGGCATTGTTTAGAGTTGAATGAAATCCCAGGTCTTACCTTCTTTACTAATGACAAGGTTTACTCCATGCTGAAAAGAGAAGAAAAGAAACAGAACGTTTCAGCTGTAGAGCCTTCTTCCTGAAATGTTGTGTTTCTTTTCTTCTCTTTTCAGCAGGAATAAACCTTGTTCCCTTGCAGCCTACGCATGCTGACGCGGCTCCCTACTTGAACTACTGTATTAATGCAAAGGAACAAGTAACAGGTTTATTCCATGCTGAAAAAAAGAAGAAAGAGAACACAACGTTTCGGCCGTGGAGCCTTCTTCAGGTGTGAGAGAGACAGGGCAGTAGGCAAAGGTAAAGTAGCGGGAGAACAAAGGTTGGGGAGGAGGAGTGAGAGGCGGGAGCAAGGGACAGAAAGAGAGGCCAATCAAGAGGTGTGAAGTCAGAATGGGTGCAGAGAGGTGTGAAATGAAACTTCCAATGAATGGAGAAAATTTAAAAGAACAGTAGTCTGTTGTTAAGAGAAGGGAGAATGTGTGATCCAAGCAGCAGAATAATTATGGTCTCGGTGGTCTTTCTGATGTATGAGTTAGGAAAACCGTCTTTGAGAACACAAACGGAGAGCTTAGAGTGGTCGTGGCTGTCAGAGGTGAAATGAGAAACGATGGCCTTGGAGAGATCTTTAATCTTCACAGCCCTGACGTGTTCTCTGAAGCGGTCTCCGAGTCTCCTTCCTGTTTCTCCAGTGTAGATGGCTGGGCATTTACTGCAAGAGATACAGTAAATAAGGTTGCTGGAGGTACAAGATGCTGTCTGAACTGAACTACTACTGTATTAACGACGACGTCAAGGTGAAGAGCAAGTTACGGCGCTGTAAGAGTTAAGGGGCAAGTGCGCCATCGTGTGGTGCACGGTGGAATCGCACAGTGAAGCATCCGCAGCCACCGCGTCCCGGCGCCAGAGCGACCTCTCCCATTTGTGGGAGTGCATGTCAATCAAGACCGGACTTCCTGGATGAGATCATGGCTGCGGGACAGAAATGGGCAAATACCCCAGCACTGCTGTTTGGGAGCGATCCAATGTAGCAACTTAACGAAATGCATAGAAAGCGAGAACTGGTAATGAATCCGATACTGTCTGTTTGTACTGTCAGTTGATGAGTACTGTATTCATGAATGAGGAAATGCCAAGCTAAGAGTATGATTGTTCACAAAAAGATGTGGATGTCATAATGCACTTCAGAAATATTAGTAATATGGATAACAAATGTTTCTGTTGAAACATGTCTGTGTATGGAAGAGGTCGTCCTTTCAAATGAAGCTCATACTCGTCGTTTGAAATCTGAGTGTGGGCTTAATAGGCTGCACTGCAATACTTTTCGTTGCGTGATAATCGTTTTCGAAAGAGCACAATTGCAGATGTGTGAGCCCTTTAAACTTAAAAGACGTAGTTAGTACAGAAAATAAAGGGCCAGCGTGTCATTACCTGACAGGATGACATCACGTTACAGTACAGTACGCCTGAAAGCTGTAAGGGAGACGAGTTAACGCTTCTGTTAATTAGCGCTCCGTAGTGCAAACCCGAATCTTCTCTGTGTTCTGCTGTGATCAGCAGAAATAAATCGACCCTCTGGCAATACGATTTTGCTACGGACAGAGCGACACCTGAATTACGAATGCCAGCTGCATACTGTAGCATTTTTGGTTAATATCTTTTATTTTAATTTCAGATACCCGATTTAGTCTACTGAAAAGAAACGGTGGAAATGCAGAATGCTTTGAACTTTAGGACTGCTTTTTCATTGTAGCCTGTTATCACGATGTGAGCAATTTCGCTAGGAATTTACTCGTTTAATAATAAAACAGCACAGTCCAAAATAAAATGCTTTTCTAAAGATAGAGAGCAATTAGAGCGTTAATGATTAACTGTAGTACTTATGGCTGATTTTTGTTAAAAGTTGATCTAATCCGCATTGTCACTTTTCCCAGTTTATGTTCTGTCGATCCAGTTTAAATGTTTTAAGGGGTTTGATGCCTGCAGCTGGAGATGAGCAGAATCGAGTTTTATATCAGCTAATGACCCCGTCATTTAGTGAGACAATAGCTGTGAGCACGTGTCCAGTTCTCCAGGAAGTGAGGACAAGTCACGCAAATAAACGCATATACAGCATATGATTTATATACACAGTGAGCTACTTACCTCAGGGAAATAAAGCCCAAAGGGGCTCCATCAGTCTCCTCTGAATTTCCTGGGTGTCCCCAGAGTCAAAGGGCAGCTATTCAAAGGAAAGCTTGTTGGGTGTAAAATCAACACTCGGTCTGCTCGCTCAGCGCTTCATGGGAAGTGTGCTCTTCAGAGGTCCTGCTTTGAATACTGTACATGATCATTAATATCTGAAACAGTTCTAGTGTTCTTGCGAGGGCTTTTAATAAGGGGCCCTCCGGTCAGATTGAGCTCCTCTGCTCTAGAGGGATGTGAGTCTTGATGGAATGACTGCTCAGCGTCAACCCATGACATAGCTGCTGAGAAAGACAAGTGTGTCCTTGACAGCTGACTGAGAGTTTAATGATGCATTGCTCTAGAACCGAATCTGGTAAAGGAAGGGCGGCCAGCCCGTCCCGTACAAACTAGTGCAGTTCCAGTACTGGAGAGGGCGAAACAGGAACCTCGCATGGTAATGAGCCGGCACAGTGTGGTCAGCATTGTGTCTTGAGTGAAAGAGATCTCCACATTATTTCTTTCTCTGGCCCCAGCAGATGTTTTGAGTGCCTGAGAGCGATGGAGGGGGGAAGACAGAACCGAGTGTCCCGGCCTCACCGAATCAGTGAGTCGTCCAAGGTACGGTCCTTCCAGCTGAAGGAAGACCCTTGTTTCCCCGTCGTCATTCTCTCTGTGTGTGTCGATTTAACAAGGAGTAATCAGTAAAGCACTGCTGCCTCGCAGCGTTGGGGTCTTGGGAGTTGATTCCAGCAAGGGGCTGCTCGAGTGTGGAGTTTCCTCTCACTTCCTGAAGGTGGGCTTCTCTAAATTGTCCTCCCTGTGATTTATCCCTGCGTGGAAGTGTTCCCACCTCATTGCCTGACCATAAAAGTAGAGGCGTCAGGAGTCTCTTCCCCAGAATGTGTTTGCTGGGTATAGTACAACATTGAGAGACATATATAGACATTAGAAAGTTCTGATTTACACCATGACCTGGGCTCTTGGGGATATTTTCACAATTTAATACAGTTCAGTGCCCTTCCTGATGTATTTAACATATAAATTCCATCTGTTTATCATTTAATAAATCAAAAAGGTTACAAATTAGAGGAGGTCATTTGGCCCACCTACCCTGATTGGAAGTTTTATTTGTCAAGGGTGTCAGAATATAAACAAGGAGATTATCTTAGTTAAGAAATTGTTTAATGAAAACTGATTACTGGTTCTCTTATTGGATGTTTGTTAGAAGTGTGTTAAAATTAAAGGGCACATATCGTCTCTTATGTACTTCATCTGGTGAGAACTAATTATTATTTCAGTTTCACAATTTTATTTCACAGCATTTACATCAAGATATCTCAACACACTTTGCAGTCAAAAGATAAGCAGATGATGTCTGGTTTAAATAAAACACAATGACTCAAAATGACTTAAAAACCGCTAAGAGTGATACGGTTCTGAAAATGGCACGCACAAATTTGAGGAAATGGTAGTCTGTGTATGATGTGTTGCTTAACGCTGTTAGCTTTCCTTAAATACAGAGTCAAACAGAATGAAAAACGACCATTTTTCTCTTCTCTTAAATCATAATAATCTACATCATTGTTTCCCTGCCTTTGTCATTTAAGACCAATGAGTCTGCCGGTCTTGTCCTAGCTCAGTTTAAAACCAGGAGGGATACTTGCAGGGACAGGCTCCGGCTCTGCCATGACCGTGGATCGGACGAAGCGGTTAGATAAAGGATGGTGGATGATCGCTGTTATTCCCAGGAAACAGCCTAGAGATGAATGTCTACTTGCAGGTGTACCGCTGGCCAGAGAACGCGGGCTCGGTGCTGCAGGGCCTGAACGAGCAGCGCCAGAAGGGTCTCTTCTGCGACGTGGTCCTGCTGGCGGACGAGCAGCGCGTTCCGGCCCACCGCAACGTCCTGGCGGTCTCCAGCGACTATTTCAACTCCATGTTCACCATCGGCATGAGGGAGGCCAGGCAGCTAGAAGTGGAGCTGGTGGGGGCCTCCTACATTGGGCTGAAGGCAGTGGTGGACTTCCTCTACAGCAGCGAGCTGCCGCTGGATGGCGGTAACATCGACTATGTCCTGGAGACCGCCCACCTGCTGCAAGTGTGGAGGGTGGTGGACTTCTGCTGCCAGTACCTGGAGAACGAGGTGAGTGAGGAGAACTACCTGTACCTCCAAGAGCTGGCCTTCATCTACAGTCTGGACAGGCTGGACTCCTTCATTGACAGTTTCATCCTCCAGAACTTCGGCACTCTTTCCTTCACCCCGGATTTCCTGCAGAACATCAGGATGCAGAAGCTGTGCTCCTACCTAGGCAACAGCCTGGTACAGCATGATTGCGAGCACAACCTCCTCCAGGCTGCCCTGCAGTGGCTCACGCAGAGCCCCGAGAGGGAATCGGACGCCAGGCAGGTCCTCTCCAACATCCACTTCCCCCTCATCCCCCGGGGTGACCTCCAGACCCAGGTCAAGCCAGCCATGCTGTCCCTCCTCCCCAAGGAGGCCAACTGCGAAGCCCTGATGGAGGAGGCCCTGAGCTACCACAGCCAGCTGATGGCCCAGCCCGTGCTGCAGAACCAGCGCTCGGCTCTGCGGGTGCAGGGGGAGCGGCTGCTGTTCGTGGGAGGCGAGGTGTCGGAGCGGGGGGAGGACCTGAGCGATGATGTCTGCTTCCTGGACCCCGCCCAGGGCTGCTGGCTCACAGAGACCCAGCTCCCCGCCCGGAGAAGCCACCACGGAGTCACGGTGATGGGCGGCTTCATCTTCGTGGCCGGGGGCAGCTCGTCCCGGGACAACGGGGGAGACGCCGCCTCCAATCTTTTGTACCGATACGACCCCCGGCGTAACCAGTGGATCAAGGTATCGTAACAATCCCGGGGCATTAGCCGAACATTTCCCCAGTGCTGTGTGAATGTTGGTATGTGAAGTCCCATAACGAAAAGTGGGCTTTCCAATATTTACGCAGTGAACTGGGGTGTTGAGGTCCCTTCCTAAAAAGCCTGTCAAGCTTGTTTCCAAACTATTGGTCTCCAGGCTGAAATCGGGAGACTCCACTTTTAAGAAAATTCCCCTGAGTGAATTGTTCTTTTAGGCCAATGTGAAAGTTTCCTTCATAAGATCATTAAGATATACGTAGAAGGAGAATATATTGCTAGACTCAGGGTTTGAAGTCTTCTCATAAACCACATTGCTGACGTCTTTGTGTGTGTTGTTGTGCAGTGTTTCCTGTCTGCGTCGTCGATCTGGTAATGGTGATGTCTTGAGCTTTGCCTTCAGGGTGCCTCGATGAACCAGCGGCGTGTGGATTTCTACCTGGGCTGCATCGCGGACAAGCTGATCGCAGTGGGGGGGCGCAATGAAAATGGGGCCCTGTCTTCAGTGGAGGTCTACAGCCCCCTGAAGGACACCTGGTCCTACGTGGCTGGTCTGCCCAGGTGATGGTCACACTTTCATCAGTCTCATTTAGGTTTGGTTTTTTTTAAAAAGTTCCAGGTTTTTTTTTTCAAGTCCAGATTTTATTTTTAGGCTGGCACATCAAAAGCCGAGTCAGAAGGAATCGAATTCAATGAATGTGCTCTTGTCATTTTGACAAAGCTATGTGGGAAATCGCTTTGCCTAAGCAGCAGCAAAAGTAAACCCCGACCCAGCACTCCCTGTATACCACATCAGGAGTCTTCAGCTCCCATCCTTGAGAGCTGTGGTCCAGCAAATACTGTCGGTCTCTTTAATACCCCTTTTACAATGGCACACCCAATTTAGGCCATGAGTCACTTTCCGATATGTTGCAGGGGCAGACTTAGTACAGGAGTTCTCGAGTAAAAGTGGGTCTTTTGATCTGGGCAATGTCATTTCCACAAATAAGAACTCGAGTGAAATGAAAAGCACCAACCCTTTGTGTTAAATTTAAATAAGGGGTTTGGGATACTGCTTTACAGCTTCTAATCCCTCCCCGCCCAAATAACATCCATCTGTAGAAATAGTGTGAAGAGTTTACAAGTAGCGGAATTAAGTGTAATTATTGTAACTCTGATTTATTTGCTTGCCTCACAAAAACGTATTCGTTACAGAATTAGTTTTACACAGACACCACCCGGTACCAGTCCGCACGCCCGCGCATCAAAACTGCACGTTTTGTATTTCCCGTTTCTCCTTTTTGTGCTTCAGGTTCACCTACGGCCACGCTGGCACCACCTACAAGGAGTTCACCTACATCTCCGGGGGTCACGACTACCAGATCGGGCCGTACCGGCGGAACCTGCTGTGCTACGACCACCGGGCCGACGCGTGGGAGGAGAGGCGGCCCATGATCACGGCCAGGGGCTGGCACAGCATGTGCACCCTGCAGGACCACCTCTACGCCATCGGGGGCAGCGATGACCACGTGGACACCATGGAGCGCTTCGACATCCTGAGCGTCGAGTGCTTCAGCCCCCAGTGCAACCAGTGGACTCGAGTGGCGCCCCTCTTCCAGGCCAACAGCGAGTCAGGGGTGGCGGTTTTGGGGGCCCAGATCTACATCCTGGGGGGTTACAGCTGGGAGAACATGGTGTTTTCTAAAGTGGTGCAAGTGTACGACCTGGAGCGGAAGAAGTGGAGCAGGGGGCCAGACCTGCCCAAGTGCATTGCCGGGGTCTCGGCCTGCGTGTGCGCGGTGAAGCCCCGGAGCCCCGAGAAGAAGAAGAAGGTCAAAGGTCACCAGGTGCGCAGCCGGTGACTGCAGGGAACCAGGCACTGGACCTGTGGGTGTGTAGGTCACCATGGAAATCCATCAAGTACAAGACACGGAGTGGGGGGGCTATTTTTATACAAAGCGCGTTTTGCAGTATTGCCAGACTAGTTTTCTGCTTGGTGAAAATATTTCCTAAACTGCAGAGGGAAGACAGCTTTGTGAAAATACCAGCCCTGCTCTCAGGAAGAGGAGTCTGTAAGAACTCTGGGTCTATCAGGAGGACTGATGATCCGGGAGACTACACTGTTTTTAGCCCATGCTTTTTTTTTTCAGTTCAAAGGATGCTAACTAGTTGAAGGTATATTTATGGCTTCGGTAGCAGAGTTTTAACATTCGATCCCTCATCGCAGATATAGAGATGCAGACAACGGTATTTTAATCATTCACCGGGAACTGTAGTTCTACAATTAATTTCATTTCAGAAATATTGCTTCTTTATCGATACCAATTTGTCGTGGCTTTTCAATGTTTGCTGAACACTGGTTCATTCTACATAACAGCATTGAAGAGTCACCCGGAATTTAAGCGGGGGATGCCAATAATTTCATCTCTAACTTTGTAGATTTAATGGACTTTAACTAAACTAGAAGTTATCCCAGTCCACATCATATAATTCCAAAACCATTAAAGAGTCGCAGAGGTTTAATCAGTATTCAGAACTCACATAAGAAGGTTTTTTCTAAATGCACCAGATATACACATTAAAGCACTTCTGTTTTTTGTGACACCCCTGTGTGTTTCTTGTATTGGGTGCAAGCATCATCCATTCACTTTCTGGCGGCTTGATCACATAAGGGGCCACAGGGGAGCTGGTGCCTATCGTAGCAAGCAGCAGGCACAAGGTGGGATGCTGGTCACAAGCATCATCACATTTTCCAATTCAGAATCATTAACGGTTATAAACCCGAATTTGCCCACAAGTGCAGACAACCTCCTCCAATGTGTGACCAATGACCCACCTCTCTTTCCAGTCTTTAGCAGGGGTCTCTGACTCATTTCCCTGAGGGCCTTGTGTCTGCATTTTCTTTCAACTCCAGTAGTCAATTAAACAGTTCAACTGATTTTTCTCTAAATAAGACATACGGGATATAGGACTTTTCAAAGTCTTCTACAGTTGATTTGCACAAGACATTCACTTCATTAAATTTACAAATTTTGCAAATCACCTCGGAGGACGGTTAAAATGTATTACCGTTAATTAGACCAATTGTGTGGCTAGTACAAAACGGGACTAACAGGCACTACGGAACTCGAGTTTGAGATCTCTGAGCTATGGGCTATGCCCTTGAACATTTTTCCCTACAGGTTATCCTTAACGTAACGATTGCATACATATCTCTAGAGTTTTTTGGAGCTTATACGGTTTTGCAACTACAGACAGAAACGCAGCAGATCTTTCATAAAACCTGTAATCCACCTGCTAACTAGCCTACTCCACTCTGCAAGTTCAACTACAGTACGTTTCCAACTGCTTCCAGCGAGGCCGTATGCGTTAAGAGACACTAACGCATCCACATTGCATGTATTTCAATGCAGACACGAATAGTGCCGCTATCGAGAAGGACAAATGCGGGTCTGCCTTGAGAAACATTATTTAAAACTCAGTAAAGCTGGCTAAACGCACATATATCGATACACAAACCATCAAGTAATGCGCACCACTACTAGTCACTAAGGGGAAACAGAGACACTGAACTTTAGTTCCTCTTGTATAGTTCCTACCACCCATGACGTGCGTGAAAATATGAGTATTTAAAGATTTATTATCTTTTACTGCTTTACTGTACAAATAACATTTACAGGACACATTATATTTGTTTACTCAGGGGCTGTGGGCTATGTTGGGAATAAATTAGCCTCGATTTTCACTCTCTCATCATGTCTGACGGAAACGACTGATTTCTCAAAACGTAGTCATATGATCCACACCATGTGAGCTGGGTCTTCCGAAAGGAAAGTGTGTTGCCTGAACATGCCAGGGGTTTCCAGCACTGGAGTGGGATTTTCAACTGCCACCGGCCCCGGTATTGCAGAGCAAAGATGCGCCCAGCTCGTCCCCGATCTAAACAGTTGGATCTTGGAGTACGTTTGTGCTCACAAGCTACTAGATGTCGTTAAAGGTACACTAATGACTTTTCGCTAATACTTCTT